ATCGCACAATTTCTCGGGAAGCCCATAGGAAGGGAGCTTTGAAAGAAGCGCTTTGTGCCAAACCCGATCGAAGGCCTTCGCAATGTCCAAACTAACAGCCAATTCCTCCCCCTTGGACTCTACTGTCTCCGCCAATCTGTGAGTTAGGTAGACCAGAAGATCACCAGCTGACTGACCACGGCGAAAACCGTATTGGCGGTCACTAATCAGCTAGTGATCCTCAAGGTACCTCATGAGCTGGCAGTTTACAGTGGACTCCATTGTTTTGGAGAACAAGGAGGTGATGGCGATAGGCCGGTAGTTGGACGGGATCGGGTGGACGAAAGCCGTCTTCCATGATTTTGGGACTACGCCTAGGGAGTAGGAGTACCGGAAAAGACGCGTTAAAACCGGTGCCAACTCTGGAGCACACGTCCTCAGCACAATTGGGGGGATTCCGTCAGGCCCACTCGACTTGTGGATGTCCAGGGAGAGGAGTGCATTGCGAACCGAGCGCTGTGTGAACTGCACTTCCGGCATGGAGCACTCACACCGCGGGATGGTTGCGGCGTACTCACCCCGTCATCGAGAGTCGAGTTGGACGCAAAGAAAGAGCCTAGCAGATCGCCTTTCTCCTTTGCGGTATGGGCCAGTGAGTCGTCCTCCCTGTGCAGAGATGGAAGAGATGGCTGACAGAAATTCCCCTGGACAGCCTTGACGAGAGACTAGAATGCACGCGTTCCAGAATGAAGGCGAACTAGTTTCTCGCCAATACCCGCCACACCAGTTATTGCATCATCTAGTACTGAGCAAATTGCCGGCACATCCTTATGTTTTGACTATTCTTGTAATAAAAAAAGTATTTCGTTGTTTTATACTTGGTGAAAATCCATAATGATATGATAAAAATGAGCGGCAGGAGATTTACTATTTGGACTTATTTTAGAGAAACTGACGACCAAAGTAAAGTGAAATGTACTAATGTAATGTAATTTTTCTTTGTTTGATTCCAAAAACATTTTATCAAGTTTCTATTTGATATAATCGGAAATAAATCTACAGTGCCTCAAAAACATAAATGTATAGATTTATGCATTTGAGGCGCTCTAGAGTAAGTAGATTCAGCCCATAAATAAAATATACTTTCAACAGTAAAAGACATCGCATTACTCAATTCGTACTTTTCAATACATTGGACATGATGAAAACGAATGTTCGGTGATTTTACCGAATATTCGGCCGAATACGAGTATTCGGTAAAGCTACTGAGTATGCCGAATACCGAGTATAAAACGAATATTCGGCCCATCTCTAATAGATACCACATAATTTGATAGAGCCCCAAAAACTCCATCGTGTTTATTGGTGTCGTGAAATGGTTCAAAGATTTAATGGAAAAACTTCGAGGAAAACATTTTATGAAAGCCGATGAAGCAGTAGCTGCGTTTCCAAATGCCCTCGAAGCGACCCCTAAGGATGAGTGGCCAAAGTGCTTTTATCAGTGGTTCCATCACATGCAGCTATGTATTGATGTAAATGGACACTATTTTGAAAATATATAAAAAAAACTAATGTTTTATTTTAAGATTAATTTTTTATAATATATAAAAAACTAATGTTTTATTATATCTTATAAAAAATTAAATTATATTAATATAACTTGCTAGTTTGTTCAGTTTTTGATTTTCTAAGAACTTTCAGTGTCACCCTCATAGGTAGTTAATAAACAATGAAGAAAACTCTTGATACCTGAGCAAGCGCCAAAGTCAAAAGCTTGTTTATTATACTTATTTAATTATGAGATATTGGTCACTGTGATTAAAATTGTTCATGAAAACATAATCATCAAATTCTATAAGACCAAAAATGTGAACAAAATTTTCACAAGTTTTAATGTTGTACATACATACATGTGAGTGAAAATTAGTATAAGTACTACAAACCTTCAAGCTATCAGTAGTTGGTTCACATACGGTTGGCATCTGAATAGGTAAAGATGTAGTTGGGTTGGCTATGGTTGGCACCTGAACAGGTAATAGTAGTAGGTAGGTAATGAAACGATTTTTGTGAACAAAGGTGATAATCAGTTTCAACATTACCTGAGTAAGAATCATTATGGTGATATTAATCTACATAATTAAGCATTAGTTTGTTTCTTATTTATATGAGAAATTGGTCACTGTGCTCGAAACAGGGAATATGCATGAAAAAATATTCATAAGCCATACAGTTTATCTAAAAATATACAAAAACATAATGCTAACAGAGCAATAGAATCAAAATTGATTTAAAAACAAATAAGATATAACCATTTTAAATAATTATATCTATCTCTCTCGCGAAAACGCCGTTTTGTATGACAGATGAATGGTCGGCACAGACATTGCCATCATAGTCTTTATCGGATTTCTCTTTCTAATTGGTATCTTTTTAGCTTCATAACATTGTCGCTGATGAAGGTATTTTAAAAATTATTTCATAATTGTTTACTAGAGCTAATAGTTAATTAATTTTGCAAATAAAAAAATGCTTGCATATTCCCTATTGCCCAGGAAAACATCATCATCAAATTCTATAAGACCAAAAATGTGAACAAAAGTTTCACAAGTTTTAATGTTGTACATACATACATGTGAGTGAAAATTAGTATAAGTACTACAAACCTTCAAGCTATCAGTAGTTGGGTCATATATGGTTGGCACTTGAACAGGTAAAGATGTAGTTGGGTTGGCTATGGTTGGCACCTGAACAGGTAATAAAGGTTACAACACTAGCACCTGAAAATTACAATGAGAAGATTTTATTTATGTATTTATTTATTTTATTTAAAAAGTACACTTACAATACACATATATAACAATCACGAAAACATACACATTTCTATACTCTCTGATATGTATATCAATAACAAGTGTACATAACATTCACAGATTGAGTCGTGCAATTTTGGGTTAATTTGGAGTACAAATATCATCCAATCAATACAATGCAAATTAGAACTATTCAAATAAATTATGTACTTAAATAAGAAAAATCTAAAGATAAAAAACGGTTTAATTATTAAAAGGGAATATGGTAGACTCTTCAGGAGTATGTATATTTTTAATTTAAGTTTAAAATATATTATAATATAGATGAAATTTATATCAGGAACTCGACGATAAATGATTAGTAAGTTTAATTTTGAATGCAATATAAGAGTCGTTAAATATGTCAATGCCAGGTATGGTTTTCGAAAATTCGTTATATTTTCCACATAATATACGCACGATAGGAGCGTGATTTCCGAGATGAGTTTTCACGAAAGGAATACGAAATTTTTTTTGATGCGACAGCGGGGCTATTTACGCGGAACAGCAAACGAAATGCGGTCAACGAGGTCATTGCACTTAATTGTGTACTATTTTTTGTAGAAAACCCAAATCTAGAATATCTCGTCTATTTCGGAGAGACATCATTTTAAACTTATCCAGTTGCTGATAGTAAGGCTGCCTATTTATTAATTTTATTTATTTATTTAATCTTCATTATACACCTTATATACTAAGGGATATAAAGGGCGGACTTAATACCTTATGGCATTCTCTGCCAGTCAACCCTGGATGATTTGAGAAACTGTGGCAGGTGTAATCAATCACTTCATAAATAAATAATAATGATATAAAACAAAATAAAATGCAAATGAATAGAATAGATATATAGTTAGTAAAATATACATACTTACTTAATATATAATATAGGATAAATAATAAATATATAAACGGGTACTTCTATACAAAACTATAAGTAAATAAAATATTAGACAAAAATAAAATAACACAATACATATTAAAATACATTATACAAAATATTACTTATAAAGTGAAAGAGAGAAAAAAAACAATAGTCAGATAGTCAGGTGGTATTATTCTTACGAAAGAATTCTCGAACTAGTCTTTTAAAATAATTCTTGTTATTAGTTTTCTTGATATAAACAGGCAAGGCATTCCAGAGCAGTATAGACTGCACAGTAAAAGAGGAATTACAGAAACCACTCCTATGTGGTGAAATACGAATTTTAAGACAATTTTGGGAACGGGGAACTCTATTGTTAATAGAATACAAATATTGAAAATTATCCTTAAGATAAGAGGGAGAATTGGGGTCATTTAAAATTGAATGTAGTACTTGCAAAGTTCGTGAGATACGCCTTTGACGAATAGATAGCCATTTAAGCTTAGATCGGTACTGGGAAATATGGTCATACTTACGTAAGCCGAAAATGAATCTAATGCAATTGTTGAGAAGGCGCTCCAACTTATCGAGAAGACATTGAGATAGATCTGGGTAACATACATCCGCATAACCAATAATGGGTAATATCAAAGTCTGGATTAGCAGAAGTTTAGTTTTAAAAGGCAAAAAGTTTTTGAGACAACAAAGAGAACGTAAGGTGGCAGTTACTTTACGGCTTGTTTCGGCAACTTGAACTTCCCAGCTTAAGGTATGGTCTATATGTAAGCCAAGATTTTTGACAGACTTACAAAATGGCAACAACGTGCCATTGTAAAATACGGGAGCAAGGTTATCGTTATTAATCTTAGCTAACATGATGTGCCTATGTGATATACCAATGGCATGAAAGGCAAATTGTCTAGTAAAGGCACACTGTATACTTTCAATGTGTTGGGAGTGCACACTAGAAGATGACGATGATATGGATTCCATATGACACTAGCGAATTCAAGGAGACTTCTTACAAAAGCATTATATAAATTTTTTTGATACACTTTGTATTGCGCTTAATAAATCCTAAGAACTTCGCGGCTTTGTTAATAAACAATAATGTGTTTATATGAGATTTAAAGGTTAGCTTTATGTCAATAGTTACTCCTAAGTCTTTAATCATCAGTATCTCTTGCGAAACTACATTACCAATTGAGTAACTAGAGACAAGCGGTTTTATTTTCCTGGTTTTTTATTTTATTTTGTGAATAAAGGTGATGATCAGTTTCTACATTTAAATTATCAGGATGTTTCAAATGCCATATTATCCTCATTTTAGTGTTCAACTTGTTGAAAGCTTCATGCTTGAACTTCTAATAAAAAAGAGTAAGTATACTTTTATGAAAGCCATTATATGAGATTGAGGGTTGTGTATTTATTTTGGTTTTTAACAATACTATGGTTGACGTTGAGTTAACTGTTTTTATTATTACTGATACAAGTCTGCTCTTGACCTGAATCATGCCTGATGAAAATTAATGAGGTCTATTTATTTACTTATTTAAACTTTATGTACAATAGTGGTACAAGAGCAGACTTAATGCATCAAGGCATTCTCTACAAGTCAACCTATATTGGTTGTTTGGTTTCTCTAAAACAAAATAAAGTTTAAAATAGAATTTAGACAAGGCCTATTAATTTGAGTTTTAGCTTAAGTAGTTGTTTGACTATACTTATAAATTCCAACCACATATCAAGCTTTATTTTGGAGTTTTGAGTAATATATGTAGTAATTAATGTTAACTTGAGGTTTTTCAACTGAGATACTGTTTACTTTCACTTGCAGTTGTACATTGTTCCTGGTGAATCTTTACCATTAAATCCTGTGTCCCAATTGGGATAACAAAATGGTGCAATCTTATCCTCGCACTGTTAGTGAATGAGGAGTCATCAAAGTGCTTACTGCATAACATTTTGTGTTGCGAGTGCAAGTCTCTTAGTGATTTCTCAGTTGACCACTCTCCAGTAGGGTAACAGTATTCAGCCCATACACATGCCTGAAATTATTGATTTTTTAAAATCTAATAGTGCATAACAAAAACACAGCAACACGAAATAATGAGTCTCTTTCTCGTACAAATCTTCAGGCACATGCTATCAAAGCAAAGAAATATACAATAAAAATAAAAATATTTTAAAAGTATGTTTAGCACTTTCGGGCTTTCGTTAACCACCATTGCCAACCATTGCAAAACAGACTACTAAGAGGATAATTGAAAGTAAAAACAATCATCAAATCAGTGTTGCCAGATGCCTTGAACCTTTTATCTGTATTAAAAACTGCTAAAATCTGTATTAAATCTGTATGCTATTTAAACTTAAAATCTGTATAATTTAATAAACCAAACTAGAATAATTGATCTTCATCATCGCTTCTTTTGAAAAACAAGGAATAACTACTAACGTGATAAGCTGATAAAGTTTGATTACCGTTATTAAATAAAAATACTTTTATAGAATAAGGGTGACAAGCGAGCACACAGTACGCCAATGGTAAGTGGATGTTGTGGCCCATAGACATCTACATTTATCCTCGCTTAAGAATCAAAACGCAGATGCGTTGTCACGCCTGAAGACTAAGATGGAATGCCTCGTTTCCAGTAAAAAAGGGTCTCCGGATTTTTACACTCACCATACGAAGCACAGCAGTATTAAGCTGGTGATTTACGCTGGTATTCTGTGAGAGCGTGGTCCTTCCCCGGTCGAGCTGACTCATTCGTGCTGCAACCATAATATAGCTGCAGCGTGGCTCTACCAAGTATTAAATATACACTATACACAAAAAAAAATTATATAGCAAAATTGAACACATTAATTTAGACAAACAACTTATTAAACTCAAACATTTGCAACAAACGAACATATAATTAATTTATTATTTTCAGTCACACATATTCTATATATACATATTATATAATACACTTGCATGTCTGCCGCACTAAGTAGGTAGTCACTTATTTTGCTTATTCTTTTTAATTTGAATATTATGGTAACCCAATCAATAGAGTTAGAAAACTACGTAGACAGAGAAACCTATAGACTAATGATTAGCGTGGCCTCGAGTGAGAAAGAACGATAACGTAGTTTTAGGTTATACAATAATGTTTATAACTATGACTAAACATATTTAGATAAAATTATTGTTCTAAGAACTGAACTGAACAAGATTCACCAATCTTAAGCTCACAATACACTTTTTTCTCACTTAAACCAACTTGTAAACTCCTTAGATCGCTACGAACTGTCAAAGTTGCTTAGCAAAGTGTAGTTTGCTAAATAAAAAAACCGGCATGGAGAAAGGGACAAAGAATCACACCACTCTGTCTCATTTCTATGAAGACGTATATATAAATCTATCTTTTTCGTATGCGAATACGAATGAAGGCGTCAATTTGTCTATAGGTTTCTCTGTCTACGGAAAACTCTGTATAAAAATCTGTATCCAGTGCTAATCTGTATCACACACCGAAAATCTGTATAAATACGGGGAAATCTGTATATATGGCAACACTGCATCAAATCATCAATAGTGATTTCTCTGTCTAGCGTATAGCGTTGTCTCTGTTTCGCTTATTTTGCCCAACGTTTGCATTACAAAGGTACTCTGTGCATGGGCTCCACTTGACCCCCGGTAATCAAGAAATTCTAGCCTTAGTCGTTTGTTTTTGCGTCAGTCTCAAGCATTTACTTCAACAAAACATCTCGCAAAAATGACTAAATGTTCAGTTAAATGGTGTAAAAACTATAGCGGCGGAAGCAGCACTATTTCTTTTCACTTGTAAGTAAATTATTTTACTACATTTATTGTGATTATCACAAAATTTATTCAAATGTAAAATAAAATTTTGTATTATCCAACTATGTTAAATATAGTCGATATTTCTAAGTATTGTTGACATCTTACAACCATCACAAAATGGCTGGATTATACCATTCAGAATGAATGATTAAAATTGGATTGAGTCAATTTGACATCGACTAGTGCTTGACCATGTCGAGAAATATATCGATATTTGACGATATGCCAAATGAATGATGATGTTATTTGTTCAATACAATAACACTTAAAAATACTTATATCACAGTATCCTACAATCTCATGTCATTAAATTTATAATAATAATTTTTATAATTAAATAAAAATATTATAAATGCAAAAATTATAATTAGTATCTGTACTTAAATATTTAAACACGTAAATTACACGAATTTTCAGATTTCCTAGTGACCCTTCTCGGAAGAGAAAGTGGGTAGAAGCAGTTCGTAGAGATGAAACCTGGATTCCGACGAAACACAGCGCAATATGCAGTGTACATTTCGATACTGCCTGTTTTAATACTAATGCAAAGAAACAGAAAAAGCTCGAAAAAGATGCTGTTCCGACATTGTTTTTACCGATATACGTGAGTTTATTAAAATGAATTACTTTCATTGATGACATGACGAAAAATAATGTTTAAGTACGATTTTCACTTTCTTCAAATTTTCTTACCTACGTATTATAATGTGCTTTTTTTACAGTCACAAGAACTAAACTGTGATACCATGGAATGTTCGAATTCATAATTTCAAGCATCCTCTTCAATTACAACATCGAAATCATCTCCAAAAGTTGGTATTGCCTTTAACGTTGAAATATTTATTATATGTACCTTTTCAACCGACTTCAAAAAGGAGCTTCTCAATTCTTCAGTTTTTTTTTTGTATGTTTGTTACGCCATTTCTCCGCCAATTGTGGACCGATTTAAAAATTATTTTTGTATTCGAAAGAATATGCTCTCGAGGTGGTCTCATTAAATTTAATACAAATAATCTATATCAATTTTATAATTAAAGCTTGTTCAGGGTTTTGAAACCTGTAAAGTTTCTGCTAATATAAAGTTAAATCTCTTGTTTTTAGCCACAAGAAGTAAATAACAAGCATTTCATAGAAAATGTTCAAATCAACCAATGCGTGGCAGTACTAGCAAAAAATGCAAACTCCTTACAAGAAGATGTAAGTTCAAATAGGTATAATTTTGTTATAATAAATTTACAGTAATTTTTGTTACTAAAATTGTATTAACTGGTTTTTAACACTTATACTAAAGGAGATATAAATAATATCTATATCCTAAGAGTCTTTTATGTATCTAATTGTAGGAATGTAATACATTGCTAACTTTATAATTTAACGTATAGGTGCAGTTGGAGCAGAAAACAAAGTCTAATATAGTTCAAGTATTAGATACTCCAAGAAAGATTAGATTGAGAAAAAAGATACATGAGCAATCTAAAAAAATTAAACGACTACAATACAGTAATTGCCGTTTAAGGAAAAGAGTGGCAACATTAGAAGAAATACTGAATAGTTTGAACGGAAAAAAAATCTTATAACAGAAGACGATAGTGTCGTATTGGAAAAACTTGGAGGAAAATCAAAGGACCTACTGAAAAGAATGAAGTAGAAAAAAGAAACTGGTACCGTACCGCGTCCATATACTTCAGAATTGAAATCGTTTGGCTTGACATTGCATTTTTATTCTGCCAGAGCGTATAAATATGTCCGCAAAACATTTGATACTGTTTGCGCCCTCCTTTCTGCCAAGGAGGGTCGCGTTCGTATACGGCTTAGAGATCTCTCGTCAGATCAGTAAGCCAATCCTTAAAGGCGGTGTTTAGTGGGTAAAAGTCTCCACATAACCACGCAGCCGGCTGCGTGGTATGCTATGAGCATTCCCCCGCTTTCCGGAGGGTTGCCCATATTTGCTTCAGGCGCAAAAAAATTGATACTTGTATACCTGCACCACGCACGTTAACAAGATAGTATAGTACCATAGATGGAAGATCTGGTTTCACAAGTGAAGCGTTAAAAGCAATAAAAGAAAGAGTGGGAAACAAAAAGGTCTTTGCAGCACTAATAATTGACCGAGATGAAAATCAAGAAGAGTGAAGATTATCATATAAATTCTGGACGAAAATTTGGATATGTAGATTTTGGATTTAATGTTGAAACTGATTGTGAAAAAATGGCCTCAGAAGTATTGGTGTTTTTGTTAGTAGCACTAAATGAATCCTGAAAGGTCCGGATAGCTTATTTCGCCACAGCAGGGACAAATGTTGAACAGAAATCGAAATTTATATTGATAGCAGTAGAGCTACTGCAAGCAAGCGGTCTGGAAATAAAAAAAACGCTTACATTTGACGGAAACAAGTCAAATTTATCTACAGCCAAGAAAATGGGATGCTGCTTAGATATAGTAAATCTAAAATCCTTTCTCAAAAATCCCGTAAATGGAAATAATATTTATGTCTTTCTAGACCCATGCCACATGCTAAAAATGTAAGAAACGCTTTCCAAGCATACGGAAATTTTGTAGATTCTGAAGGCAGAGAAATCAATTGGAAATATTTAGAAGAGTTACAAAATTTACAAGATAGTGAACTGTTCCATTTGGTGAACAAATTGCGAGCTAATCACATTTATTATAGAACAAAAATCATGATTGTTCGACTTGCATCTCAGCTATTTAGCGACAGTTTAGCTGATGCATTATTATTCTGCCACACGGAGCTTCGAATCCATAACTTTTGTGGTGTTAAAGCTACGGCAGAATTTTTGAAGAAAATTAGTAGTGTTTGATATTCTCTATTCCAGAGTTTATCAGTATGGATTCAAACGAGCAATGAATTCTGAAAATTATGAAGCGGCCTTTAAAGTCTTGGAAGAAACAACAAAATATTTAAAAACATTAAAACATAATGAGACGAATATTATGAAAACGCTTCGCTTTACTGGCTTTCTTGGGTTCTGCTTGTGTGCTGAAAGTGTTAAGGGACTTTTTGAAGACCTAATAAAAAAGGACAACATTGAGATATTTTTTAGTAATATACGTAGTCATGGAAGATGCAATGATAACCCAACCATAAAGCTATTTGAATCAATATACAAGAGAATGCTAGTACACTCAGAACTTATTGAATGTAGATTCAGGGTACTGCGTACCGTTGGAATCTCTCGCTGTGAAATCGCATCTCTCGCATGAACTAGCAGCTATACTATTACATCATAACAAGCCAGGATATTGAAGAAGAATTAAAATCCAAGCAAGTATATCCTGTAGCTCATTTAGTAGTTTTGTAGTTGCATTATTGATTTTATATACAAGCATTATTCCCAAATCTTTTTCACATATCCGTTTGGTTGGTTTGTTGCATTGGCGTATACCATGGCACCTACCTTAACAGCCTGGCCACGGGACATTCGCCGTAGCGAAAATTCGAGCGGCGCGAACGGTGACACGTCTTGCGACAAATGTATAGAAATGTATGGATCAAGCCACGCGTAGCGGCGAGTGGCGACGCGACCGGCGAAATTTACCGAGCGAATCGCGCGGGCGACTGGTGGCGCGGCGGGCAACTGAAACAAATGTATGAATCAGTACGGTCCAAGCCACGGAGTCGGGCGACAGACGCGGCGTTTTAGTTGTTTCGCCGCTAAAAATTCCGGGCCGACAATAACAACTTAAAATTCTATCCGCATTGACTTTTATCTCCAATTCTGTTTGAATATTAACAAGAATATAATCGCTGGTTTCGACACTCATTCTGGTATTTACTCGAAATTTTTTTCTAGATGCATTCTATTTGTTGTGGAATTCTCCATCTATAACCCAATTCCTATTCAAATCATGTACTCCGCAATCTCTTCCAAATATTATGTTTTGAATTAAAAAACAATTACTTTCTAAGCAACATCGAGATATTTTGATAGACATTTCACTCTCGGCCTATCTGGTCGCGGTGGCAAACGTGACTTTCCGTGGCCCTCAAACCGCGCCGCGCGAATTGTCGCCCCGCCTGCCCGTTCGCGCCGCCGATCCCCGTGGCCAGGCCGTAAGAATTCGGTTTTCACGTTGGTCTAGTGCGTCTAGCAGCAAGTCTTCTGTTTCATCGAGGACCCGATCTAGAACTCGTGCCAGCAATCGGATTGATTTTATATCTGAAGAGGAGCTGAATGCGATATCCGACCATTTTGATTATTTGTCAACGCATTCTGGAATTCTTAAAGTTAATTTAAGCGTTTACTATCCCAAATTTATGTATCCTATCATACCTATGTGTGAAAAGTGTGTTATAAAGAGTTGTATCAATTACAGTCATGAAGATTATAGATTTCTTTCCCATAGACGTTCCTAATAGTTTTAAAGCCAATTTTTTTTTGTTATATTTGTAAGAAAAGATTATTTGTATCCCGCTTGTATGCGGATTAATAAACTGCTGTGCGATTGATTTATTTTTTATTTATAAACGTTTATCTACATACCAGCCATGTTTATTCATATTTTCTCTTAACCATACATATATTTCTCCCCTATCCTTTTCCGATAATGTTCTTAATTTAAAATTAATTGTTGCCCATGCGTTATTTAATGTTGTTTGAAGTCTTAATATATGTTCCTTGGGTTTTTTTCCACTTTTATATATGACGGTGTTCTTATCTTGAAGTTGTCTTTTAGCTGTTGATCCGTTTCGTATAGATACATTATATTATCAATATTTTGACATCTTATAATTAATGTAGTTATATATTTTGGTACTATCGGTGTTGGTATTTGTGTTTCTACTGGTGTTGGGGGTGTAGGTTTTTCGGTCTCTGGTGCTTTTTTTGCCGTATTGATTATTGCTTCTCTATGTTTCGGATTGTTTTTATCATAGTATCCTTGTTCTGGTATCCATATCTGGTACCCACAGAAATCTAAATAATAAGGCACTAGAAATGCCTTCTACTGTCTTTTAATATCGGGACGCGTGTCGCCAGGTCGTAGCTTATCACACATAGACAAACAATAAATACACAATTACGCCTACAAATATCTCTAGCATTCATGCAACAAAGATTAATCTATAAACTATTGCGTTAAGGAATATTTTATAAAAACGCAAAATCTCAGGAGGCGTAGCCACTCGGTCCAATAATTAAAGTGTGCGAAAAACAGAGAATGACATTGCGCGCTCGCTCTCACTTGGGCATAGTGCAGGCAACGCACGTTTCGATAACTTTCCAGGAGTCTCACACCAAGATATAACTAATTAACTGAAATTGTCTCAGTAATAGACGCTTTGTCTTACCTTTAGCTTTTAGACGTTTTATAATTAAAAAAAAAAGGGATATAATAATACGTTAAGAATAAATATATCCATTTATCTTTAATAACCGGATCTTTAGAAACTTGTAATAAAAGTATTGTATTAAATAAACAGAAGTATAAATAAAATGAATCCAACATTATACAAACAGCAAACGAATAATTATATGTATGGGTGACATATTTATCATTTTTTATTAGTTTTAAAGATCTGTAACTGACTTTTTGTTTGCTACTTTTCAGTTTCCCGGCTTCTTACAGATCGAATTAAGACTACTATACTTACAATATAATTACTTATCTGCAATATAAGTGATAAAAAATGTATTAAGTAATTTAAAAGTACAAACAAACAAATAATCGCCGATAAACGATTAACGGTATAAAATATTTAGAAAAAAAAGTAGAAAGGTGTAAATAAATATTTTACGAAAAATCACATTTAATTCTCGTTTCGCTACAACTAGGTAATCCAAACATAACAAATTATCGATACAAAATAGTTGTGTCACGTAAATGACTTGCATTCGACTCCTGCGGCCGTGTTTTAGGAAATTTACGTATGCAACAATTTTGTTTATTGCCCATACTATAAATCCATCGCTGGTTTTGCTGTCATACTCGTAGACATGAACTAGCTTAAGAATCAATGGATATTGAAATATGAAAACAATTACAATTTCGGAAACAATCGTAGTACTGGAGGTGAATAATTTTATTTAAGTATATTTCATTAAACACAACATTATTTAAAACACTAAGTACTTATTTATGAAATGTTATCCCTTTATTTGAAAATTTGCAAGTTGTGGAGGAATTTCCGCAGTTGGATATGCTTCAAAGCACCATTTTTACGTCTCTGCGTCCGAAATAACACTGGTGTCCGAAACAAATGCTCCTCGCGCGCTTGTGGTCTACGAGTCACATGTGCGGCGACAAGTTCACGCGTTTTTACGACTTCTATTTATATTTAGATTTCTGTGGGTATACCCAAGTTTAAAAATTTGTCTGTTAAATATTTTTTTTTCAATGTTTCCATTTCTGCCAATTTTACCGCTGCTTGTCTTATACGTTCGTTGTCTTCGGCTAATGCTAATTTTTCATCGTCTGAAATGTTTGAAGTTATTTTCTTTTGTCCTGGTATTTTTCCGCTCTTACGTACATTACTTGTTCTTTATCTATTACTAAATTTTCTCCGTCACTGTATCACATTTTTGGTTGTTTAGCTTTGGGCTCTTGTGCTTATTT